AGAGATCTTTCTGGTATTGATTTCTAATTAATTACACTGTAGTCAGAGATCATATTTTGTATTATTGGAATCCTCTCAGATTTATTGAAACTTATTTTATGGTGCAAAATGCAGTGTCAATCCCTCTTAGTTATACAGGTTAATCTCACTCAATATGAAAATGGGCTACAACAGGGCACAGATACCAGGGTGTTTGTTGGCTATCATAAGTGTCTATTATGTGCTAGTCTACATGCATATGGGAACCCTACATGCTCTCATGGAACTTCCACTATATCCAGGGAAGGGCACTAAAGTAAAAACATAAATCACTAAGTGAAAAAATGAATTATAGATTGTAATACGTACGATGAAACACATAAACAGGATGTGCTGGTAAAGCAAATTGGCTGATGCTGCTGTTTTTCTAAGGATAACCAGACAGTCTACAGAAGGACAACTGAGTTGTGAGAGTGGAATAAACCAGTCATTCAAAGAGCTGATGAAAAAAAAAGTATCAGCAGAGGTAATACTAGAAAGAGCTTGGTGTTGGAACATCAAAAGTATGGATTAGAGGGCACCTGGGTGGCTCATTTGGTTAAGTGTCCGACTTTGGCTCAGGTCATGATCTCTCAGTTCATGAGTTCGAACCTTGCATCAGGCTCTGTGCTGACAGCTAAGAGCCTGAAACCTGCTTTGGATTCTGTGTGTGTGTGTGTGTCTCTGTCCCACCCCTGCTTGCATGCTGTCTCTCTCTTTCTCTCAAAAATAAATAAACATTACAAAAATTTAAAAAATTTTAAAAAGTGTGGATTACAAAAGTAGCTGTCCCAGCTACAAAAGGAATATAATATGGCATGTGTTTGCGGAAGCCAGTAGAAATCATATGATCAGTTATATCAATGTTTTCCCAAGTAAATTAGAAACTGACAAAATAATTTTAAGCAGGGAGAGTGACATAAACTTATTTACCATAAAAAAAGAAGAAAAATTAATCTGACTGTTGCTTGGAGGTTTGGGGCCTATGGTGAAGGAGAGATAATAGATATTTGGCTGATCAGAATAAAAGTTGACACAAAGGTACCAGTTGGGAAACCACACAGTTTTCCAGGAAAACTGGGTTACCAGAAGTGAATTAGAGAAGAAATGGATGGACAGTAAATATATTTTCAGGATGTAGAGCTAACTAGATTGTTGATGGATTGAATATGTTGGGTGAAAGAAAAAGCAAATGAATCCCATAACCATTATGCTAAGTGAAAGAAGCCAAACACAGAGGACTATATATCTGTATGGTCCATTCACATGAATTTATAGATAAGGCAAATCTCCAGCAACAGAAAGCCAATCACTAATTATCTAGGGCAAGAGGTCAGAGAAGGGGGTGAGGTCTAAAGTGTCAGAGGAATGTTTAGGGTGATCAGACCTTTCTATATCTTGATTTTGTGAAGGTTACAGGACCATTTACAATTACTCAAATTCATATAACTATACACCTACACTAAGGGAATTTTATTGTCTGTAAATTATACCACAATACAACTATTAAAAATAGTCAAATATAAAAGGGGACCTATTTCTACCTGGCATTATAGATAAGGACATTCCTTTAATATACAAAAAGCAGGTAGAATTTTAGTGTAGCACAAATGCTCCATAAACACATTTTCTAAGAATCTAAAATATGATAAGAATGGACTAAACATATGAGAACATGAGAATTAATGGAAGAAATTCAAATGGTCAAAACATAGAAAAATAGACTTCTGGTTTCAACTATTCTATGTAAGGACATGAACAGGCTAGACAAGAAAAACTCAAAATCTATGCATTTTCTTGGACCTTGCAGAGAATTTGGATCACAGAGCAAACTACTACCTTGAAATCTGAGGTTGCACTCAGGGAAACTGAGTACCTGATGTTGGCTGTCCTGGAGTATAAGACATGAGACTCTAGAAAAATGGTAGAAACACTTCAATAGTATGTTTAACAAACTTCTGGGGGCCAAGTGTGGATTATTGTGAGAATAAAAAGCTCTTGAGGCCACAGGAAATAATACAAAGTACATTTTTTAATGTTTATTTTCGAGGGAGAGAGAGAGACAGAGCACAAGTGGGAAAGGGGCAGAGAGAGAGTGGAAAACACAGAACCTGAAACAGGCTCTGGGTTCTGAACTGTCAGCACAGAGCCTGCTGCAAGGCTCGAACTCAGGAACGAGGAGATCATGACCTAGGCTGAAGTCGGATGCTTAATCGACTGAGCCACACAGGTGCCCTTAATACAAGTACATTCTTAGAGCATAGAACAATTAAAAAGTAGAAATCAATAACATAGAAGTAGCTTAAAAATACCCAAATATATGGAAATTAAACCCATTTCTTTTTTTTCTTTTTAAAATTTCTAACATTTATTTATTTTTGAGAGACAGAGAGAGACAGAGTACGAGCAGGGGAGGGGCATGGAGAGAGAGGGAGACACAGAATCTGAAGCAGGCTCCAAGCTCTGAGCTGTCAGCACAGAGCCCAATGCAGGGCTTGAACTCATGAACCCTGAGATCATGACCTGAGCTGAAGTCAGCCACTTAACTGACTGAGCCACCCAGGTGCCCCACATTTCTTAATAACATATGGGTAAAAGAAGAAGCCTGGAAGGATTCAAAAATATTTTGAACTAAATGAAAATAAAACTACAGCTTATCAAAATTTGTGGGATGCATCAAAATCAGTATTTAAAGGGCAAACATTTAAAGGGCATAACATTAAATAAATATACATATAAGGAAAATATATACAATATAATATAATACCTTAGAAAATGAGATGAAAATGAGAGCAAAGGTAATAATACATTTTATTTATTTTATTTATTTATTTATTTTTAAAATTTTTTTTTCAACGTTTATTTATTTTTGGGACAGAGAGAGACAGAGCATGAACGGGGGAGGGGCAGAGAGAGAGAGGGAGACACAGAATGGGAAACAGGCTCCAGGCTCTGAGCCATCAGCCCAGAGCCTGATGCGGGGCTCGAACTCACGGACCGCGAGATCGTGACCTGGCTGAAGTCGGACGCTTAACCGACTGCGCCACCAGGCGCCCCTAATAATACATTTTAAACCCAAATCAATGTTATGGAAATTAGGGATAAAGAACATCTTTGAAACCAAAATTTAGTCTTTGGAAAACACTAAAATTGCTCAGATTCCAGCCATGTAAACTAAGGAAAAGAAGAAGAAGAAGGAGAAAAAGAAGAAGAAGAAGAAGACAACACAGGGATAAAAGAGGGGTCTTCACTACTGATTCCATGCACATTAAGAGATAATAAGATAATACTATAGACATGATGTCCATATTCTGATCCCTTAGATGATATGGGCTCATTCACTGAAAGGACAAAGTACAAAAATTCACTCAAGGAAACTGATAACTTTTAAACAAAATTGAATTAGTTGAAAAAAATAAAAAATATATATACTTTCAAAAACCAAAATACCAGACCCACATGGTTTCAACAGTGAATTATACCAAAGGTTTAAAAGAAAAAAAAGTAATATCAACTTTACACAGTGTCTTTCAGAAAACAGTAGAGGAAATAGCTTCCAATTTTTTAAGAGACTAGCACAGTCCTACTACCAAACCTATATAAGATATTACAAAAAAGAAAACTACTCATATGGTCTCATGACCCGACACAAGAATCCTTAACAACATATTAGCAAATTCAATTCAGCAACATATAAAAATATGATACATCATCATTAATATGACTCATTGGAATGCGAGGCTGATTCAACATTTGCATATCAGTATCATTCCTCATATTAACAAAATAAACATCATTATATCCATAGACGCAGAAAAGTATTTTATAAAGTAAAACAAGCATTCATGATAAAAACTCTCAAAAAAGTAAGCATAGGAGGAAAATTTTAATCAAGGTTTTATATGAGAAATCTCTAGGAAATATCACACTTAATGAGAGACTGAACACTTTCCATCTAAAATCAGAAACCAGGTGAATATGTCCTCTTTCACCTCCTCCAGCGCTATACTGGACATCTTAACTACTGCACTAATACAAGAAAAAAAGGCATGTCATTGGAAATGAAGAAATAAAATGGTATTTATTTGTACATGTTGTGACTGTCTATGTAGACAATGGCAAATATTATACAAAAAAAAAAAAAAACAAACCTGTAACTAATAAGTGAGTATAGCAAAATCTCAAACTACAAAAGTCAATTAATTGCCTTCCTATATACTAACATGAACAATAGGATATTAAAGTAAAAGAAATACTATTTTTAATAGCATCCAAAACATATTCAGTATTCTGTATGTGGGTAACTATAAAACACTACTAAAAGAAAAAAATAATAAAATCTTAAGAGATATTATGTATTTATAGATTAAAAGACTCAATATTTTCATAATATTAACTCTTCCTAATTTGATCTATACATTCAGTGCAGTCCCAACCCATCAATTTTGTGTAGATATTGACAAACTGATTGTAAAATGTATAGGGAAATGCAAAATATCTAGCATAGCTCGCATAATATTAAAGCAAAAGAAATTTGAAGGGATTACAATATCTGATTTCAAGAATTACTGTAAAACTACATTAATCATGACAGCATGGAATTAATGAAAGAATAGACATAAATTAATTGAACAAAATTGAATACCCATAATAGACCCACATAAATATAGTAAATTGAGTTTTGCAGAGTCTCAAAGGTAATTTAATGTTGAAAGAAGTTTTCCTAAAATAATGTTCCTAGAACAAATGGGTGTCCACATCCAAAAAAAAATGAACCTAGTCAGTGATTTTATGCCTTTAATAAAATTAGCTCAAAATGGATAGTGAACCTAAATATAAAGCTTAAAAATATACAACATCTACATGGCAATGAAGGAGGAAACATTTGTGACGTTGGGTTTGGTGTTGAATTGTTAGATATAATACCAAAAGCATAATCCATGAAAGAAAAATATGGTAGGTTGGGGTTCAATAAAATTTAAAAGCAAACAGACAAAGCGTCTGCTTTGGAAAAGACACTATTAAGAGAAGGAATAGACAAGCCACAGGCTTGAATATTTTACAAATACAGAGAATATTTTACAAAACTTATCTGATGAAGATCTTCTATCAAAGAACTCTTAACCCTGGACAATGTGAAATAATCAACCCTACTTAAAAATGAACTAAATTGCTAAACACCACTTTTAGTAGATTAAAAAAAAAAAAAAAGATGGCAAGGTAAGTATATGGAAAGACACTAAACATTACATTACATTAGGGAAATGTAAATTAAAACAATATAGAGATAATACCACACAGCTATTAGAATGTCTAAAATCCAAACTGGTCATACCCAGTGCTGGTAAAATGACGGTGCAATAGCAACTTTCATTTGGTGCTGCTGGGGAGGTAAATGATAGAGCCACTTTGAAAGACAGTTGTCAGTCTCCATAAAGCCAGACCTAAATTAACATATGACACAATGGTCATCTTGCAGGTATTTGCCCAACTGATTTAAAAACATGTTTGCATGTAAAAACTTGCGTGTCAATGCTTACATCATCTTCATTCATAATCACCCAAAACTGGAATTAACCGAGAGGCTCTTTAATTGGTAACTGAATGAATGCAGTGTGGTATGTCAATACTATGGAATGCTGTGAACAATCAAAAAGAAATGTTATTCTATACAGTAACATGGGTGAATTTGAAAGGCATATGTGTAAGTAGAGAATCCAGTCTGACAGGGCCGTAATTCCATTTACATGTCCTTTTGGAAGAGGCGGAGCTATAAGAGATAGAGTACAGATTAATAGTTGCTAGTGATGTTGGAAAGAGGAAGCATTACCTTGGTGATGCACAAGGGATTAGGGGAGATGGTGAAACCATTCTGCATGGAAGATACATGACAGTATTTGTTTTTCAAAATCCTTACCACCTTATAGCATGAGTAAACTTTAGAGGTTGTAAAATAAAAACAAATCTACTAGGAGAGCGGGGGATTTCTGGATGAATTTCAGACAGTAGCAAAATATCCAACTGTCTTACAAATATACGACCCACTCATAGTGAAGGTGGTGGGGAGAAGGGAGCTGACCTCAGTAACTTTAAAAAGAACTGGAAACTATAATTCTAATGACAAATGGAAATATACATAGCACAGTAGTCTAGTTAGTAACATCATTTCTCACGGGAGTATGAGTTAGCAAATTTGAAACAGCTGTACGTAGATACTTGAACTGACCAAATGAATGAATGGATGGTAGATGTTGAGAGCCAGACATGTATATTATGAATGCATATGCATATACATATCAATGAATATACACATGTGTGTATGCATATGGACTAAAAACATAGAATTTGTAGATACAGAAAGCAGAAAATTAACATTAGGCAAGTGCCAAATATGTTTATATCATAACTCTTCTAGTTTTACAGTAAGGATGGATCATTAGTCTATAGTATTTCTTTATTTCTTTGCTGAGATTGATGTTCATAGTCTTATTTAATAGCTGTAGTGATAGACTTTTTGTTGTTATATGCTGAGTTCAGTTTGACAGATTCAGCAATGAAGTTATTTTGCACAGGCTGGTAATTAGGTCTAGTGACAGGCAATACAACAAAATGGATCTTTAACCAAATAATGCAATGCACAGTGTGTTAATTTCAAATGATTTCTTTTGAATGCTAATTTGCTTCTGATTGTATTATTATTACAGATTTGGGATGCTGAGGTTTTTTAAAGACAATTTTGAGCAGTTTTAGGATCACAGCAAAATTGAAAGGAAGATACAGGTATTTCCCACATATCCTTTGCCCCACAAATGTACAGCCTTCTGCATTACCAATATCTTCCACCAGAATGGTACATTGCTGTACTTAATGAACCTACATTTTCACATCATAATTACCCAAAGTCCACAGTTTACCTTAGGGTTTACTCTTGGTGATGCACATTCTATAGGTTTCGACAGATATAGTAATATGCATCCCTAATTGTAGTATCACACAGAGTATTTTCACTGCCCCCAAAACAATTTGTACTCCACCTATTCATTTATGTTGGGTTTTATTTTTTGTTTGTTTGTTTTTCTGACTCTGCAGAAACTAACCTTAACCTTAATATTGTGGTCTCCTGGGAGCTTTTCTTCCACCAAATTGAAAACAAATTTACCTGCATCATTTTCAATTCCTTCTGGATGTGGTCAGTACCTGAGAAGTCATGCGGCTCACACCTAGAAGTATACATATAAAGTAAGAATGAGAACAAGCAGCCTTTGATTGAAACTAACCAGATTCCATGTCTAAATCTGTGGTCTGGCTCTTTGGACTCTCAGTTTCTGTATTTCTTCAATTTGCAAACATCCACGTTACTTCTCTTAGATGTATATTTTAGCTTTCTTGTGTGTTTTTCATGATGGCCCTAAGTCATTCCTAGGTTGTATATCTTTAAGGATTAAAAAAAAAAACCAAAAAACATTTGTAGGTTGATCTGAAAGTTTAGGTCTTAGATCTAAATATGGGACTAGAATATGGCACTTTTAGGAGTTCCAGTCTCCTGACTTTATACTAGACTTTCTTGAATCTCAATGATCTATCTAAACAATAGTTTAAAATGGTAACATCTCTTTGATTTTGTAAACTAAACTGAAATCACAATATAGAAATTGACCTCGAATTTAATTGGTCTTTAAGAAGTCAATGAGGTGGTGAATCAAGGGTTTTACTTGCTCCTTTTCATTTGTTAAACCCTACAGTAATATTTTTATCTGATCTTACTCTGCTTCTAAAATATGCTGCAATGATTTTTATGCAGCATAAATTATATGCTTTTCTGTATTTCATATGCCTGAGATGTTTCACTACTTTGAGTTATCCTATTGCAATATCTGTCTTGAATTGTGTCTCCTAATAGACTAGAACCATATCTCCTTACTTGATTATAGTCATTAAATCAAGAAATATTTATTGTGTTTATTCTAGATGTTGGGAATAAAACAATGAGCAAGAAAGACATAATTCTTGCCTCACATATCTAGTCAATTGGAAAGGTAGATCCTATCAGTTGCTATGACAGACAATTTCAAGATGTAGGGATCCATTTTTGCACAGTACTTTCAAAATCATTACTAAAAATAGAGGTTAGATAAAACTGATATGCTACAGTCAAACGATAGCCTAGATCATAAACTGTCTTTAAAAATCACTTCGTAGGGGCGCCTGGGTGGCGCAGTCGGTTAAGCGTCCGACTTCAGCCAGGTCACGATCTCGCTGTCCGTGAGTTCGAGCCCCGCGTCAGGCTCTGGGCTGATGGCTCACAGCCTGGAGCCTGTTTCCGATTCTGTGTCTCCCTCTCTCTCTCTCTGCCCCTCCCCCGTTCATGCTCTGTCTCTCTCTGTCCCAAAAATAAATAAACGTTGAAAAAAAAAATTTAAAAATCACTTTGTAAAGGTCAAGCCAAACTGAATTTATTAGACAGAATTTAAAGTTCCAGGTAATATTGAACATAAGCATATATTATTTAATAATTAAAATTTATTCAATTTTAAAGATTAAAATATTTCTATCAAACCAGATCCCAAGGGATTCTCAAAACAGTCTAGTTTTCCTTAGTAACCCATATCTTGTCATTGATGTATATACGTATATAGCTGATCTCTTGTATCTATCTATATTTTAGCCTTTACAGTCTCCTGGAAGTCATGTATTTCATGTATTATTACCTTTTGAGTGAAATAGTGATTGAATTTACTTTTCCTAGATTTATGTGTGAGAAACAGTAATTGTATTTATTTAGCATAAATTTATCAAGGGAATAACTCCCTTTGCACTGTTAACTTTTGTGTTTAGCCCATAGTCATTTTAACAGGGCTACACATTATTTAGTATTTATAAAAATATAAATTTATAAAGACCTTTAGCATCAATTAGATAGAATAATAGATAATGTGGGATCAGCAATAATAATAATAAACTGAGTTCTTATTTCATAGAACATTGATCTTCATTTTGATGGGGATTGGGGCTTTAAGTCAGACCTCATACGAATAATAAAACAAGTAGCTATATAATTGTGACAAGCTATATGAGGGAGAAGTAAAAAAATGAATTCAAAGTGAAAATAGAGATGTGTAAATCAAGAAGGAGTGTCACAGAAATTATCTCTAAGTTAAGGAAATTGAATATAAGACAAGAAAGGTGAGGAAATGTTGAGAGGCAGCGATTTGGGTGCTGGTAGTAGGAGGGTGATTGGATAGAATGGAACAACAGGTAGAGATAATAATAAGGCCTTGAACCTAAAAGGATTTAGTGCTGTGAAGAAACTGAAAAAAACCAATATTCTTGCAGTGAAAGAGCAAAAAACAGAAAAATATCTGCAACAATAGGACAGATCAATCTGGACTCTGCAGGTTATGCTAAGTACATTAATTTACTTTAAGAACACATTTTTAAAAGGTAGAGTTACATTCATTGATTATGTTTTCTATCCTTTCTCTCTCTCTCTCTCTTTTTAAGTAATCTCTATGCCCGGTGTGGGACTTGATCTCTCCACCCCAAGATCAGGAGTCATGTGCTCTACTGACTGAGCCAGCCAGGTGCCCCAGTTATGTTTTTTTTTTAATGCTTATTTTACTGCTGTTTTAGTAGAGTATTGGAGAGAGACAGGAATAGACCAGAAATCAACTAGAAGGTTTTTAAAATAGTTCAAATAACTTGTAATAAGAGAAAAGAAGGGGACATTTTAATAGAAATTCACTTAAGTGGGGATGGATTATGGTGGGTGATGAGAGAATGGTTTCTAGAACGCTCCCCAGATTTCAGCCTTGAGCACTCGATGTATAGCAGAGTCCATTGTTCATGTAAGGAAGACTGGGAGAGAAATGTACTTGGAGGATGATGTTGAGAGTTTGGTTTCACATGTGCCATATTTGTGATATTTATCAGACACCCAAATGATGATCTCAGATAGACAGGTGTGCATTCTAGAGCTTAGAAGGGACATCTGTGAATAAAATTTGTGAGTCATTTACGTATTCATGGTGTTTGAAGTTATGGTAGTGGACAGTACTGCAAGAAGAGAGTATAGACTTAGAAGGAAAATGGCCTCATATGGAGACCCAGGAGTGGAAACTTGAGTAATTTTCTGAAGCATCCAACTTGAGGGAAATATGGCAATAAAGATGTAAATAATCCAGAGAGTTGGGTGAGAATCACCAAGAAAGTTTTGTGTCTCAGAAATGAAGTAGAGTGTTTTCAAGATAGAATGATAAACCGACATAGAAAGACAAATGCTACTGAGAGATCCAGATATTTGAAATTAAATAACCTCCACAGCTCCCCCATTGACATTCACATTTTTATTCCCATACTATGTCTCCCCAAACTAGCCCAATTTCTAAAACAAAACAAGAAAAAAAATCCGAACATTCTTGATCATCTTCATTTTTTGTCGTTTTAGGAAGGTTACTCAAATAATTTCAAATATTTTCCAAATAATTTGTTTAGACCTTTAGGTTTTGATCCATTAGCGTAAAATATATTCACCTTTCCTAAGAAACATATCTGTTTCACCATATTACAAAGACATTTATATTTTAGTACTTTTATTTGTTAACTGTTAAGTTCTTGAGAATCCAATTTCTAGGCCTGATTTACCAGAATCATACTACAAGCTACTTTTCGTTTGTTTGCTTTCAAAAATATGATGACCTCTGACCCTCACTTTCAACTGATAATTTACATCAATCTACATTAAGATCTTATTATTTGTTATACTTCTTTAGAACATATTTTGGTTTGGGTCCTCATTTTTCTTATTAATTTTTTTCACTTCTCTTTCACTTGACTTTTGTCTTTCAGAAATTTGTCAAAATCTTTATTCTGCTTACATTCACATTTACCCTCTGCAAAAACACACAGAAAATGTATTTATTTTTTCTGTTTTGTACCTATTATTCCAAAGCTTTCAGGAGATGACAGAGGCAAATTTATAGGCTCAATCTTTCTTGAACTAATAAGTTATCCATTGGATTTGCAACATCGGCTTTCAGAATGCTTAAATACTGATACTGATGTGAAAGTTTGAGTACTGAGCAAGTGAGCCACTGAAGATGTAGGAGGAGTGTAAACACTGAAGTGGGTATTGACCAGGAAGGAAGTTATGTGACACAGAGCCTAGTCAGACAGAATTAATATTTTTCCTTTGAAATTTTCAGTCCCCTCATTTCTTAGGAAATCTTAGTCGCTTACAGATTTGGAGATTCCATAGATATGTGGGCTTCAAATATAGTGCAAATGCAGAAGAGTATTGTTAGTAATTTTCCAAACAGCTTGCTTACTGATGGTGGGTATTTGTTATATTTAAATACAATAATCCCTCTTTCTTGCTGTCTTGAAGGATATGGTTTGTAACGACTCCAAGGTCCATAAAGTATGTAAAAACTGGTATTTCCAAGCTGAACAGCCTCTACATATAATTTAGATTATTTTCTAAGGAAACGGGCCCAATATAAAATTAATTTTCCATTTTCAAGCCAAATTACAAAATATTCCTGAGATCACTTAGCTCCCGCAAGACTGCATTACACAGAAATGTCTTCCACAGATTTGGAGATTCTCTTGTGCACTTTTCCTCTAAATCATTTATAAAAATGTTAAATAAGGCATATGCTGGCACTACTCCCTAAGGAGCATTGCTGTGTACACTTCCTTATTTAGAAAAGTGCCTACTTATTCCCAACCTTTCCTCTTGTCTCTAAGCTAGTTTTGTATCCATGACAAAACTGTTCCCTAGATCCCCTGTTTTTTAAATTTTTAATACATTTTAGTACATAATTTTATCAATGATTTTTTTTAAAAAGTCCCAGTAGTTATTACTTTTATTGACACGGTTTTGTGCTTTTTTTTCCTCCTCCTTTTAAAAAGCTTTTATGATTTACCTTTTATGGCTTTTATATTTTTATGGGACCCATTAACTATTATACTAATATATTTTGTTTGCTCTCTTTACTAGATAATCTACTAGTTTTCTTGGAATGTCATTGGGCTCTATTGTTTCATTTACTACAGAACATCTTATTCGAGAGGAATAAGAAACCAATCAACGTGGTCATCCATAATAACTAATTTTTTTTTCTCAGATATTTCCCCACAGCTAAGACAGAGCTAGATATGTCCAAAGTTTTTAAAACACTATTTCATGGACTACCCCGTATTTTTCGTAGGTCCCATGCAA